CGTAACTCAACCAAATTGAGCTCAAATCGTACACAGTACATTCGCCTAGCATCGTGCGAAATCGTTTCCTCATATACACCCGCAATCCGGAGATACAGACTAAAACGTACAACACGATTCTCCATTCTGTTGCCAGCAAACTGAATGTGTAAACCGCCTAACTCGAAACAAAAGGCAGCTGTAAATAGGTCAAAGATTAGCTCAGCGAGCCACACCGCATCGCCGAGGGCGCAAGAGTCGTTAGTAGCTGCCTTTTGTTTCGAGTTAGGCGGTTTACACATTCAGTTTGCTGGCAACATAATGGAAAATCGTGTTGTACGTTTTAGTCTGTATCTCCGGATTGCGGGTGTATACGAGGAAACGATTTCGCACGATGCTAGGCGAATGTACTGTGTACGATTTGAGCTCAATTTGGTTGAGTTACGCGTAGTAAATTGTAGGTATTCTAAGGCTAGGAAATGACGAATTTTCCTTGTTTATTGAAGTCACACTCCTTCCCTATTATCTACTCCTGGTAGTATTTAAATCTGCTTTATTCGATTATTGAAATTAATTTAGCATTTCCGGTACAGTTCCGCCGTAATTAAAGGAATTTTGTTCTTGCTCTCATTTTGGAATCTAATGTATGATGGACGTACATGGTAATAGGTTAGAATTTTGCCAACTGTACAGTGTTTACATATAAGTTATAGTGTAGGATACACAGTACATACATGCAGTGTAAAGGTCAGGAATACCAGGGTCCAATTATTATACATATTTTAATACAATGTCAATCATGCATTCATCGGTCAGCTTTAGTCAGAAGAAGGGTGTGTGGTTACGAGTGGGTGGGTTGTGGGGTATTACACCTGTGTGCACGTGCACGCATGCATGTGTACCGATGCATTTGTGAATGCGTGACAGGCAATTGCTCAATTTCTCCTAGCTTCCATGGATGTCAGTGTGTGTATGGGATGTGGAGCCAGTGCATATCGCCTTCTTTAGAATAACTAGTAGTACAATCAATTTTTCACGAGCCTGCGTCAAATGTGCAAGCGTTCTATCGTAGCTGCTGGTGACATCAGTCATACAGATATAAAATATTTTCATGTTTTCACACAAATAGTCGGCCAAGATAGATAGTAGTAGTAGATAAGATTTACTCCCAGTTCAATACTGTGCTTATATTGAAGGGGAGATCAATGTATTGATTGATTTACTCGTAGTAAGACGTAACTTGTCGTCAGACAGTTTGCATATCTGTGATAAATGTGCATTTATCGTATCATGTTTGTGCTATGTACATAGGTCACCTGGCAAAGCAATAATTTTTGCAGAATAATCTCTCTCTATATATATATATATTTAGATATATATATATTTAGATATATATATATATCAGAAGTAGATAATAGGAATTCCTATTATCTACTTCTGTATATATATATATATATATGTTATTTATTCTTCGATCGTATAATGAAGGTTACGATAGATTAGCAATTTGTAAATATTTTTCATCACACATAATGAACTAGTTATTTTGCTCGTATCTTTGCACAGCAATATATGGATAGCAGTCGCCTTATATTACACGTTATCTAACTTTCGATTTCGTAAAAGTCATAATACGAGACGTCTAATGTTCCATAATCGTCGCTGTTAAACCTACAAACACTGCTATCGACGGTGTTTAACTGGGTGGTAGAAAGCACGGAGCAAAAGTGTGATGAGGCGACATTTCCATTAACTAATGCCCAAGTTTTCCATTGCAGGTGTATTTTCTCGCGTACAAATTACGTGTTCGATCCGGCGATTTCCTTCGATTCATTGATGCGTTCCTTTGCAGGTTGCATGCCTCTCGTGTGGTTTGTGCATGATTTTATGCTGGTCTTGTCTTTTTAGCTATCACGTAAAGCTGTTTTTTCGCATCCTCGTCAATTGTTGAGTAGATGCGTGCAGACTCTTTATGTAGCGCCTAACTCTGACTTCCTTCTTAATAGTGCACATCAAAATGATTATGTAACTTATTGTGATCACAAGTGTTATCCATAAGCTTGGCAATCAATATTGGTATTCTATTGAAACAAATTTCACAGATAAATTTAATGATTAATCAGCATTAATGCACATGATAAATCACAAATAAATCCGAATTTGGGAGTTGTCACGAAACGTCAAGATTTTCTAATACAGTAATTAGTATTAACCAAACAAAATCTATGAACCTATATTTAAAGTATATGGTGTTCAATGCGAATCAGTGAAAACTGTATCGACGCGTAATAACATTTCTGAGCGGCAAAATACGCGATAACGCAGCTTTGCATCTACTCGCTTGCAAGAGTGGCATGTTTGGTGAAGTAGGGCATTATCATCGTAAAGAAAACCGCAGACGGCATTGGCAACTAGATCAGGGTGCCAACTAATATGCACAACTGATAGAACTATGTTTAGGATTGAAGATTGTAAGGCTGTATCACAAGTTGGCATAGATTTGAGCCTGATATTGGGTGCGGCCCGTGATAGTAACGCGTAGTTTGAGACCTGCGGTTGCACGTAGAGCATTGCATATCGTGAACTAATCACGGCGGGTGCCTCCGTGGCAACGTGCTTTTTGCCAGTTATGAGCTGTGTTGAATATCTCAGAAAACATGAAGTGCAGTTGTTGCGACGCTTTAAACAGGCAACTTGTTTTACTTTAGTCGCATTTCGATAGTACTCAAATACATCAGAGAGAATGATAGCCTGTTCTTATATGCGCATTTCCTCTGCACTGATAGTACTCTATGTGTGTCCTGATAATAAATGCGTCGTTTTTATTTATCGTGACGACGATAAGACGGTAAAGTCTCACGGCATAGCTGCAACA